TCTTGTTTGCCTTGGGTACAGGAGCTCCTCTCGGATTTGGTTTCGTGAATAAGACAGACAAAAACCTGTTTAACCTTTGCTCAGCAGTGATAGCACCTGCTCAGAAATTCCACGGGGTACTAGGAAAAAGGCTAATTTTGCTTCAATTTCTATTGATTTTAATTAAATGTGGAAGATGAAGAGAGAGTGGTTTGAGGCTTGCAGGATATCTGACTAGGTAATACCAGGCTTCTGGTTTTTTCTAGAAAATATTACAGGTACATGAAGAAAACAAACATAAACAAGGGACAGAAGGATTTTCCATCCCCAAATGCTCCTCCTCAAGAAAAAAATTGTCACCAGCAAGAGTAACTTTTGATTAATCAGAGGATCTGGCATACACCGGGATTAATGTGGCTCTAAATGACTTTCTTCTGTGAGCTGGAATTTTTATTTTGGATACTTTATTTCCTCTGCCTGTGGCAGGACTCCCCAATTAACACAGCCCAGAGCTCTCCATGCAGCTGCTCCCCCAGGATCCTGCTCTCCCCTGGGAATGGGCTGCCCAGAGCCGATTGCTGCAGCACTTGCACAGCCCGAGCCATCATGTGAGAGCTTAAACTCCTTACATTGCGGGGAGCCAGTGCCTCTTGGAAAGCCTCTTGCAGGCAGCTCTGTCAGTGTGGATTATGGGGGTTTTTTACCCCTAATGCAAACCCAGGGACAAATCCCATTTAGGAGGAGCAAGGCTGTGGACAGACAGACAGACAGACAGCCAGGAGACTGCAGCCACCAGCAGGGAGCTCAGCCCAGCATTCCCAGCCCTGCAATTCCTGCAGTCCACCAGGGAAGATCCACCATTCAAAGATCCAGCTGCCTCCAAACATGCAGAAAAAGCTGGGATTACCCCAGAACCTTCAGCTTCATCTTCCCCAGAAATATTCCATGGGCTGCTGGCTTTAGAGCCACCAGGTGATACCAGGTTTCTGGTTTTTCTAGAAAATATTAGAGGTACATTAAGAAAAAAAAAAAAACATAAAAGGAAAAAGGATTTTTCCATCCCCAAATGTTCTTGCTCAAGAAAAAATTGTGACCAGCAAGAGTCATTTTTGCCCTGGTGCCTTTTGGCTGCTTTTGGGAGCTGGGGCCATCAGGAATCTCCTTCAGGTCCTCACAGGCTCCAGGAGTGTTTGGAATATTGTCCACCACAGAGGGCCTGGCAGGGCTGAAATCCCAGTGACTGAGCAGGAGCTTCACCCCCACCCTGCTCCTGGCACAGGCACCACGGCCCCTCCAAACATCTGAATTGTCTTTTAGCTGAGCTGATGGCTTTTTGCTCCCAGATCCGACATGCAGCAGCTCATTGCAGCACAAAGCTCCCGAATTCCTGAGGTGCCCAGACCTGATTTCTGTGCAGCCCAAGGGATGAGGCTCCCAGCTGGTTACACAAGTGCAGGAGCTGCGTGAGCAGAGGGGCAGCCCCTGCTTTTCTGGGCAAGTCAGAGCAGAAATGACCTCACTGAGATCCAGAGCCAGGCTCCTGGAGGTGTTGACCAAACCAGCCAGGAAATGGCTCCAAAGTGGAGCTCACCACACTCCTGGGGTATTGCAACATCCCGAGGGTTTGCTTAGGCTCAGGGCTCCGTGCCTTTCATTCCTCTCACTCATTTTGGGATGATTCTGGGCTGCTCTGGAGGCTGCAGGATTTGCCACCTGATGCTGTGACAGTCCCTGGAGAGGTCCCTGGTGGTGCTGGCACGATGCAGACACGTGGGGGTGGATTTGGGTGAGCTTTAACCTCCAGCCCCAGCCATTCCATGGTTCTGAAGGCAGGCAGCATGGCCAAATGCACTCCCACCCCCCTGGTGGCTCTGTGACCTGTGGGTGTCTCTGTCACCCTGAGGGACAAACACAGTGACAAGTGATGCCAACTCATGCAGAAAAACTGGGAGAGCAGGGTGGCACCCTGGAGCTGGACACTGCTGTGCTCCTGCCCTGGCTGCAGAGGCAGACAGGCAATCACTGCCAAAAGGAGGTGCTGGAAAGAGCTCTTAATTTAAAAAAATGAATTATTTTCCCTACATAACGTGCCCATGATCCTGCCTGTTCCCATCTCTTGGGCACCGTCCCTCACTCCTGCTGCCTCCCCAGCTCCATCCCAGCTCTTTGCTGGCTCCCACAGCTCCAGGTGCACATGTGGATAATTGGGAATTGGGCTCAGCTCCCCCAAATCCAGGAACAGGCTCTCCAAGGCATGGATTGCACTGGCCTAAGGCAACAGGGACATTTTCCCAGCAAACCCTGCCTGCAAACTGGTTTTTGGGGACAGGGTCCTGCATGGCCACCCCAGGACAGCGGCTGAAGGACACATTAATTAAATCAGGAAAGAGGCTCAGGCAGCAGGAATTGCCATTTCTTGCTGCCCTGGTCTCTGATTCGATGGAGGGATCCAAATGTGGATTTGCCTTTCCTGCTGTGCAGCTTGGATGAAGAGCAGGGGAATTTCCAGCATTTATTGTTCCAACTGATTGAGACAGACCTTTCAGTCTGTTCTGGGAGGATGAGCAAGGCTTTCTCAGTGGGGGAAACTGAGGCACAGCCAGGAACAACCGTGGTTTCCGTGGATTTCCAGGTCCCTCCTGCCCACCCTGCTGCTTCCTGTGCCACCCATTCCCAGCTGGGAGAATTGCAGTCCAAGACAGGCAGGAAATTTGCATCTCCAGGAATTCTGCAGGGGGAAAACCATACAGGGATCTCTGAAAAATCCCTGTTACATTCCAAGGTCTGGAATCAGGGAGTTGAATAGATCCTTTTGTTAAAGATCTTTAACACCCATTTTTCAAAAAATCCTGTGCTGCTGAGCTCTGACACCTAAAAAATAATCTAATTAAATAAAAATAAATCTCCAGCAAAATCAGCTGGAAAGACACCTTTATTTCATGGCTTTGCAGGTTAAAATCAGCAAATCCTTTAAAAAATGGTAAAAAAACTCCTTCAGGCAGTTCCATTGCCTCAGTGTTAAAGGAACAATTTTGTTACTGGGTGTTATTTTGCTGCAAGGAAGTTTGTCAACATCAATGCTCCTTGTCTCCAGTTTCCCTCATACCTGGAGCTCGTTCTCACTGTATGAATTTATTTCCCTCCGAGGATCCCTTTATTAGTTCCAGCCACAATTCCCTGTCAGCTCGTTGTTTTGATTTATCTGAGCACCCTTGAAGCTGTTCCCGGCCCGTGTCACACCCCGCCCTTCAGTGGCTTCTTCCCAACCCAAACAGATTTAGGGCCTTTCATCTTCCACACAAATCTTCAAAGGAACAACAGTTTTTATGTGTTTTGCAATTCCCTCCAGTCCTGGGACATTCCCACCTGCTGCTCCAAGGGCTCACCCTTCCTTGGTGGCATTCCCTGTGTCCTCCCACACAGGAGCTCCTGGGTTTGGGGGGAAAAATATCCTGGGTTTGGTCTGAGGGTGGGAAAATGTCAGCCTGGCTCCCTGTGTGTTTTCCAGAGGGATGTGTTCCCATGCCCGCCCTCTCCCAGCACCTCCAGCCCCCAGGACAAACCCAGCAGCCACAAGAGCAGAGCTGGGGACGTGTCTGGGGCCACATGTGGCTCCCATTCCAGGAGTCCTTCCCAGGAAAAACCTTCCAGGAGCCTTCCTCTGCCACGCCGGCACCACTGATGGATCCACATCCATTCTCTGGAGGCGTTTCCAGCTGTGGCTGCTCCATCCCTGGGGGTGTTCAAGGGGCTTGGAGCACCCTCCAAGATGAGCTTTAAGGTCATTTCCCACCCAAAGCATTCCGTGGCTCTGTGAGGGCACGGTGGCACCAGGGAAAGGTCAGCTGGGGGGAGCCAGGAGCCAAAGGGCCCTGTCTGGTGACCAACCATGATCTGGAGGGAATGTGTGGAGCAGGAGTGTGATCCCACCCCAGGTCTGCCCTGGACTCACAGTGTCCCCCAGATAAAAAACCCTTTTGTCTGTGCTGTGGGAGCTTCAGTGCACAAAGCAAAGTGGTCTGAGCACATCCCCAGCCCCAGGGTGTGCAGACGCTTCCTGCCTTTGTTGGGTGTCCGGGTCCTCTCCTGCTCCCACCCAGAGCCCAGCCCTGGAGGGGTCACTGGTGGGGCAGGAGCAGCATCCCACAGATCCAAGGGGATTGCCCAGATCCAGTGGGATTTCGCTCCCTGGCTTTGTATTTCCTCGTTCTCCAGGCCCTGCCAGCCTGTCCATGTCCTTTTCCAGGCCCCGTGTGCAGGAGATGATCCCTGGGTGAGCCCTGCAGATCTCCCTCTGTTAGTAACTACTTCTGTCAGTGCTCCCTCTCTCCCAAAGAAGAATTCCCTTTTCCAACCCCCGTGGGAAGCTCAGTGAGTCCCTCCTTGTCACTCCTGAACTGGCTGTGGAATTTGTGTGACATTTGCTCAGCCCATGTGGCACCACTGAAGTCCCACTTCACTGGGATTTCTCCACAGCTTTTCCTGCCCATTTCTTCCTCTGGGATGTGTTTGTGTCCCAGGGGAACAGCCCCAGCACCACCCTCTCCTTTAGGAAGGAAAACCTTGGATTTCTCCCCTCTTTCTACCCAAAATCAAATCCTCCACCAAGCCCTGGGAGCCTGAGCATCCCTGCCCTGCTCCTTTCCCACTGAAACTCCTCTTCTCCAGCCTGGAATGGACAGGGAAGAGGAACTGCAGCATTTCTCCCACAAAAACTTGGTTCCTTCCTACTGCTGAACATTCCTTTTGCTGCACAGAACTATGGACACACCCTGGGAATTGGGATATTCCTCCTCTGCTCCCTCCTCGTGTCCAAAGTTCTCCCACTTCCCCATTCCCTTAGTTTTAACTGCAGGAAAATGACCTAGAATTTAAAAAGGAGGATGGAGATGGAGGCATGGATGCTCTCATTGCTCCTAAATCCAGCTGCAAGAGGAGTATTTGGAAACCCAGGTGCTGATGGATGTGGGATAATCATGGAAAAAGAAAACTTTTTGAGGCAAAGACCGGCAACCAGAGTGTTGTAATTCAGCTTTCTTTGTTAAAAAAACAAAACAAAACAACCCAGAACATAGAACAACCCAAACATTGAACAGATTTGTTAAACCACAGACATAAAAGAATCAAGAAATACTACAAAAAAAAAAAAATTACATTGCAAGAGACATCTTGTTGTCCAAGGCCATTGGATTCAGGAGCTGCTGGCTGCCCAGCCCTCAGTCAGTGGAATTGCTGTGCTGCCAGGAACACAAACATTGGGAATACACAGCGCTTACTGGAGAAGAATTAAGACTAAAAGATATTTACCCCTTTCAAATAAATATAGTGTCATCTACAGATATATTTAAATTAGTAAAACAGGTTTTTTAAAGCAACCAAATATAACAAAATCGTAAATCAGGTTCAGGTTTTCTTGTGTATGTTAAGAGCCTTTTTTTTTTCTGTGTTTAAAAAAACCAACAAAAATACAAAGCAAAGTGTCTCTGAAAAGTCAGATTCTCCCCCAGGAGTGAAGGTCACCCTCCCTTTGTTCTGAGGGTGGGAGCCAGGTCTGGGAACCACCCAAGATCCTCCCTCTCCAAGGATTTTGGTGGAGCTCCCCGTTCTCTGAACACAGCAGGAGGTTTTTCCCGTGCCTGCCGTTGATCCCAGCACAGCCAGAGCCCGGCATGAGGGAGAGCCCCTGTGCTGGGCTGAACCTCAGCCCTGGGGAAGAACTCAGGTGTAGCTATAAAGTCTCTTTTAGGCAGTCTAGAAATTAATTCAGTGTTTAAAAAAATACTTTTTATTTTTACTCATTACCATTTCCACAGCTGGAGAAAGCAACACCCCTTCTCAGGCAAGGAATAATATGGGATCCTTTGGGACCACCTCATTACCACTTCCACAGCTGGAGAAAGCAACACCCCTTCTCAGGCAAGGAATAATCCTCTGGATATGGGATCCTTTGGGATCAGGGACCCCGAGCCACGTTTCCTACCACTGCACCATCAAACTGGGAGCTCTGGGTTGCACCAGCAGCATCCCCCACACATTCCCAACCCAGTTCCAGTTCCAGCTGGGAAGAACTCGAGCCCAGGCAAAGCCAGCACAATCCTGGGTGTAACTCCTCAAGGAGACACCCAGAATGAGGAACCCCTGGAGCTTCCCTCAGCACCGAGGTCTCCAGGATGTCCTGGCAGGGATGAGGAAGCAGATTCCCATTCCTGCAGGGATGAGGAGCAGATTCCCACCCCTGCAGGGATGGAAGAGCAGATTCCCATTCCTGCAGGGATGAGGAGCAGATTCCCATCCCTGCAGGGATGAGGAGCAGATTCCCATTCCTGCAGGGATGAGGAGCAGACTCCCATCCCTGCAGGGATGAGGAGCAGATTCCCAGCCCTGCAGGGATGGAGGAGCAGATTCCCATCCCTGCAGGATCTCCCTCCCTGGCAGCCAGGCGTGGCTGGGGATGCTCCCAGGCTGGGATTCAATCCCAGCCAGAGCTCGGCACCAGCCTGGAGCCACCCTGCCCTGGGGCTGCCCTTTCCCAAGCTCCAGGAGCTGCTTTGTTCCAGCCCTTTCCCAATTTCATGTCATGAGGTTGCAGAGTGGATGGAGGAAGAGCTGGCATCCCACGGGAGCAGCCCAAGTTGTGTAAGGACAATGTCTGGCAGTTTCCTCAAGGGTTTGTTTTGTAATTTGATTTTCTGTTAGAACCTGAGAGCGCCGTGGCCTCGGCTGAAGGCACAGGTACCTTCCCAGCCTGGGTGGAAACATTCCCTGGGATTCCCTGCAGCCACACCAGGGCTCTGCCACTGGGAATATCTCTCCGGGCTTGGGAAGTCACAGCTCCAGGGAACAGCCCCACTGCCCCTGCCCAGACCCACCACGGAGCAGCCCCTGGAGGAGCCCAACTTATTCCCTTGCCTGAGCCACCCACTGGGAGAGGACTTGGACAACAACAAAGCCACTTCCCAGGAGTTCCAACCCAGCTGAAGGGCCTTTAAAGTTTGTTCAACTGTGCCAGAGTCCCTTTGAACTCCGTGGCCACCGAGGGGCCGTTCCAAACAAAAGCCTGTTTACCAGAACACGGTGTCTGAGATGGAAACCACTGCAAATTCTGCAGGAAGTTTAAAAAAAAATCATTAAAAGTCCATCAGGATGACATAAATCCCCCTGGTTCTTGCAGGGCTGGTTCCCCTCCCAGCTGGAGGAAGGGTTCATTTAGAAAGAGGAACCCAACGGGTATGGAAGTGCCTGGCCAGCAGCTCCTGCTGTTTAGCAATCCCTGCGGGATGCAATTCTGTGAACACCCAAACAGCTGCCAGCCTGGGAGCCTGAACTCACAAACAACTGGAGAGGAGCAGGAATTGGAAGCTGGGGTCAGTTCAGGAGCACGGGATCATGGCACAGCCATGGCACCGTGACCTTCAAGCTGTTTTCCAACCTCAATTCCACGGACAGAACAGCTCCAGCTGGGCTTGCAGGGAGCTGTCAAAGGAGCAGATTCCTGTGGAACCTCCTGTAGGTCACTGTGCTTGCAAGGTCCTTGTGGGGAGGGTTCAGCTCCCTCCCTGTCTGACCACAGGCTCCAAAGAGCACAACAGAGAAACAACAGGAAAAATCCCAGCTCCAGTGCTGGGAAGGATGGGAAAGGGGGAACTGTCGCTCCTCTGCCCTCCCTGACATCTCACTCCATGTTTGAGGAAAACAAGCAGCAAGGATGTCTTTCCCCGGGGTGAATTCTCCCTTTTCCATACCCAAACCCATCAGAACAGCACAAGATGGGGGCAGATGTTGCTGATCCAAGGGAAAAGCTGCCACACCAGACAGCAGAGGCTGTGGCAGCCGTTTCCATGATTGCAGAAACTACTTGTTGTCTTTTCTTTCTAAAATGAAATTCAGTTTTACCCCTTCCCTCATTACCTCCCAAACCTCCAGGAAAATCCAACCCAAGCTCTTCCAGCTGTGCCACCAAGCTCTGGTGGAGGGCAGCTACGGGGGATCAATGACTCCAGGGTGAGAGAAATCAGCTTTTTGGCAGATCAACTTTGAGATATGAGCTGTGGCTGACCAAATTCAGCCTTTTTGTGGCTCTGTGCTGGTACCTGGTTCAGTTTCTTCCTAAACCTCTATTGCCAAGGAGATGCTGATGAGATCCCCACAAAGGTGGGATCAGTGCCAGAGCCTCAGGTTAGTACAAGAGAAAATCTTCAAGAGCAAGTGAGAAATCATGGAAACCCACAAAAAGCAAAGCAAGCCAGTTAAGGATTTAATGAAAATCCATTGATTACTTAAAAAATAGTTTTTAGTGTGACAGCTCCTCTTTCAAAGCAGTGTGAAAGGGTCACCAGGACACTGGGATGGTCATCACCTGATGGACAGTGTCCAAGCCAGCCTTTGGGAGGTCTGGCCCCAGTCCTGAGCTCACTGTGGAGAGAGCTGACTGCCAGCTGATTTTGGGTGGAGGTGGCTGAGATTCCAATGCCTTTGCTTTGCATCCCAAGGAATTCTGCTGGTGGGTTTTTGCACTGAGAGCCCCCATGCTGAACCCAGGCCCTGCAGGAGCTGCCCTGAGACCTCACAGGCAAAAAATCCTGCAGCATGAGTGGCTGCAGGACACACTGAGGTCCCCTCTCCATGGAGCAGGTCCAGCAGGGGCTGTGATCTCCCATCACTGCTCAAAACCATCTCAGCCTTCAGCTGGAAGAAGCCAAAACTCAAGTTCAGGTTTTGTGGTTCATGACCTTATTTATGCCAAAGCCTCTCCACTGGCATTGGATCTGAGATGCTCCAACTCATTGCACTGGCCAAAAACCTTGGGGTCTGCCTTCTGGATATTCCCAAAGCAGCTGCAAATCCTCATGGATTAACTCAGCTCCCAGAAAGCTGCGTTGGGAATCTCCACACTGTCACTGGGAATGTCCACTGTCACAGAGCTGGATTGGGAATCTCCACACTGTCACTGAGCTGGATTGGGAATCTCCACCCCAGCTGCCATGGAATAAAGAGCTGATTGTCTCCCCTTTTCCTGCCTCAGAGCAGGACACGGGGCTGGCAAAGTGGGAGTGTGGAGCTGCACCTGGACACGGCCACACAGCTGGGCAGGAGCTGCCCCTGCCCCAACACACCTGCAGTGCTGCAGAACTTCCCAGGACAAAGCCTGAGGAGTACCATGGTGTCCTTAATGCCCCTTCACCCCAAAGAACTCTGCTACAAGGAGAATCCACGGGAAGCGACAGCTCCCGGAGCACCCCGGCTTCCCAACGGCCAAGATTTTAAAAAAATGGGAAATAGTTCACCAAGCCACCTGCACAAAGCACAAGCACAAAGATCTGCAACAGAGACAGCAAAGCAGCTCCAGTGGGGAAAGATCGGAATTCCAGGTGAGAATGAATTCCAGGTGATGTCAGAGCACAGAGACACAATGAGCAAATGGTTCAGGAACTGCAGCTTTTCCAAAAGGTGACACTTTGGACCAAAGAAAGCAACGTGTCCCTAAGGGGACAGTGCTGACTAGTCAGGAACTACAGGAATTCTGGGGGTGCTCAGGGATGGGATGGCACCACCCACAGCAGCAAACCAGGATTTCACATGCAGATCATGGATTGTGCTCAGGGATTGCTCCTGGAACGGGAGGGTGGTGCTGGGATCTCATCAAGCCAGACCCGATGCACGAAGGAGGATCAGGCCCAGGCCCTGCTCCTTAGAGCAGAGCTCACTTTCCTTACTCAGAGGTGGGCAGGCCCTGGCACAGGTGCCCAGAGCAGCTGTGGCTGCCCCTGGATCCCTGGAACTGCCCAAGGCCAGGCTGGACAGGGCTGGGAGCAGCCTGGGATAGTGGAAGGTGTCCCTGCCATGGCAGGGGTGGCACTGGGTGGGCTGTAAGGTCCCTTCCCACCCAACCAGTCCATGATCTCCAGCAGCCCGAGGTGGCTCCAGCCAGCCAGAACATCTGCCCTTCTCCACAGCCCAGAGCCAGTGGGTCCCATCTCCGTGGCACATTCCAGAGGAAACACAGCAGGACAAAGGGAACAGCGCCAGGCAGTGCACGGAGAGACCCCAGGGAATGTGCCAGGGCAACCCCCACCCTTTATTTCTCTCTGCTGATGGTTTAGGGGCAAACATGGCTCCCTGAGCAGGGCCATGAGGAGAGAGAGCACAGAGCTGCTCATCCCATGCTGGATGAAAGCCTGGCACAGAAAAGCATGGAATGAGCAAGCCAAGGACTTGGCCTCAGCTGACTGCAGCTCCTGGGTTTCCCAGCAGGAACTCCCCCCTCAGTGCTCATTCCCAGGGATGGGCACTGTGGGGAAGAGCATCCTGGAGGACTGGCTCAGCAGCAGGGAGCTGGCTTGGATCTGAGAGTGGTGATCCAAACCCAAAGGGTGGCAGGGCCCCGAGTGAGGAGCACAGTGACACTCACATGAGGCCCCCCCATGTCCAGTGTCCAGCAGCACATGGGGGTGTGGGTTTGGGGGAGTGAGACAACACCAGCCAACCTCTGCTTCCCACCCCCACCCGGGCCAGGTAAGGCAGCTCAGAACCCCCCCAGGGCTCTGTGGCAGCCCCAGCCCCCCCCCAGGCACTCTGAACACTCAAACCAGGCTCCAGCAGATCCCAGAGCCAAAGCAAAGGAGCCTCCCAGAGCCTGGCACAGCCCTCACACACACACAGAGGGCACTGGCAGCACCCCCCTGGAAGTGCCCTTTGGAATTCCTCCTCCTGGCTCGTACCAAGGACTTCTGGCTGCTCTGCAGGGCTGGGAGGGGCTGGAGGGGCTGCAGGAGGTGAGCAGAGCCTCGGGGCAGTGGTGGCAGCAGGAGGCAGCTCCGGTGCCTGGGACTGGGGAGTGAGGGGTGGGATCCTTGTGTCATCTCAGAATAACGTTGTGCGTTTCCTCGAGCTCAGAGTCCCTGCTTTTCCTGCCTAGGATTCCTGAGGAACCACTTCCATCAGCTTCTGGCACAGCACGGTGGTGGAGACTGCAGAGAAAGCAAAGGAAAGGTCAGGGATCACCCCCAGCAGAAAGCTGGGTCCATGAGGGAAGGGCTGAGCCCTCTGCCTCCCCACCCTGACTCCTCTGCTCCCTGCTGCTCCACCCTGCCTGGAGATCACAAATATTCCTGCATGGCAAAACTAATCCTAAGCACAACCAAGTGAGGCTCAGATCAGTTAGAGGTGATCAGATTATCTGCAATGTATCAATAAATCACTTTTAAAAGTTCCTGTGTTTCTCCCCCTGGACATTTGCAAAATTATCACTG